CTATATGCTACGTCTCTGTCAAATTTTATCATGAATATTCCTTCTAAATCAAACCCATCCATCTAAACATTCTCATTTATAATATTAGTAAGATTTTATTTCGAACATACAATATAGGTACTTATTGCTTAACGCCCTCTATACTCTGCGAAATTAAACAGGTTAGAATTTTTAATGCCTCTACACGACAAACTTTACTTATTTTTAAGTAAAACGTAATAACGAAATTATGTTGTTAGTATTTGCATAGTGAACAGTTAGAAAAAAATTGCCAGACCTGACCTATCATCAAGAAAAAGACATCTTTAAATGAATAAAGTTACTTTAACATCCCCCAACTTGCACAAAACCGAGTCAACTCGAGGTTAAATTATGACAATTGTAACTAAAATATTATAATACCTACAGTTATTTACAAAATTTGCGTTATTTGTTGGAATGTTTGTTTACGAAATTATACCGCTTTAAAAAAAAGTTTGTTGCATTCTTTACAATCTATTTAAAAATCACAACAAGATTATAAAATGAAATAAATCGGTAAACTTTCACTGTTATGACTTAACGTAACATTTCAACTTTTACAACAGCTGTTAAGTCTTACGAAGTATCTTACTTAATATTTTGTTACTACTTAAATTCAGTAAAACAATCACCAACAAAACCCGACTCGATCTATAATACGTAATAAAAAAAACAAACTCACTTATACGTCGTCTTCTGTCGACGGTCAAACACCGACTGGAGTAGATTGGCTGTTTTTCATAATTCGGCACTGACTCCTACGATAATTATAACGCTTTTACAAGCGACGACACGACAACGATATGATTTTTTTTAAATCACTATTGCCTTGGAAGTCGTTGTTTAAGCTATGCAACATGACGACCCTTTCTAATTATCTGGCTGTATACACAATTCGTTCCATAACATAACATAAGCAAAATGAATGTAAAAATAAAAATTTAAGATAATTTTTAAATATTTACGATATAACTGTTTTTTCTAAACTACTCCAATTGAAGGTTTATTTAACAACGGTGAAAGCGGAATTATGCAATACTAGCTGTCGCCCGCGACTCCGTCCGCGCGAGATTAAAAATAGATGTTGGTCGATACTCAGACCTACTCAATATGCTCACGAAATTTCATGAGAATCGGTCAAGCCGTTTCGGAGGAGTATGAGAACGAAAATTGTGACACGAGAATTTTATGTATAAGATATAAGTAGTAAAAACATTTATAGTTATAGGAATAGTACGTAAAGTAATAAATTAATCAAATTAAATATTGGCCAACTAAAATCGTGACATGTAAATGATGTGACTGATAGTTTCTCCCGCGTCTGCCATAGCCTTTGCCATAAATGTTGCCAGTTGCCACCGTCACCATTCTGACTACTGACCGCTGCCACTGCGTCACCACTTGAAAGTTTAAGGTTGTTCACTCATTCCAACTTGCAGACTAGTCGATTTAGACTGTACAGTCAGCTGCATAAATATATAATACATTTACAAAACTTAACGACACTTGAATAGTGCTTTAGTTTCAAAAATACTATGCACTTATTTGTCGGAAGAATACAGACTGAAGCGTGTATACATTATTTAGAAATTGAAGACGTAAACATATTTATGTGGATGACTGTACCAACATTTAAAAAAAAAGTTTATTTGATAACTAGCAGTTGCGCATGACTTCGCGCGAAATTAAATAATCTATTAATATAGTCTATGTCACACGGGAATATTGTAGCTTCCCAATAGTGAAAGAATTCTTCAAATCGGTTCAGTAGTTTCGGAGTCTATTAAATGCATAGAAACAAATATTAACACCTTATAATGTTAGTATACTTGTGTACTATAAATTGATCCCTAAGCTTTTGAAGTTATTAAATCAACCAAAGAATATAATAAATTATTATAGAATAAATGTCGAAAAATATTGCTTTAACATGAACTGCGCTGTCGTTTACGTGGAGTCCGTCATTTCGGAAGCAAACATAAAAGTCATATAAATAGAGTCGTAAAAGTTATAAACTGCCGCGGGAACAAATAAACATCTGCTTGATAATGGAACAATGAACAATATATTTTTAATACTCCATCATTTAGTGCAGTTCTTTAAAGTCATCTAAATCTTACTTCTTGTTTATAAATGCGAATGTTTAGAGGGATGGATGTTTGTTTGAAAGTAACTTCGGAACGTGTCAACGAAACTATATAAAATTTGGCACAGACATAAAACATAGTCTAGAGGAAAACAATAATTGTTTTTTTTAATTCCGTGCGGGAGACAGCTAGTAAAAAATACAAAGTAACATGTCCTGTATTAGTTTAATTTAGTCACTAATATTTCGATGTCTCGGAACCGCTAGATGGCGCTGTCATAAAATTAAGTATTTTTCATCAAATTAAATAAACTTGCGGACCCTCATTGGCCAAAATTCTATCAATTTTCTAATATTTGATATATGGATGTTTCTTAGCTGTTTCCATAACGGCTGCTTGGATTCTCTTTGAAATTCGACATGGGTGGACGGAGTCGGGTGATTCAGCTAGTAATTCATGATTTTTTTTTTGTTTAAAAATGTTTTATGATAGAAATTAATTTTAAAAGGGCATAACAATTTTTGCTACACTTACTGGGAACGCTTTATTTTTAAGATATAAAAAATTATGATAAAAAGGTAAAGGTATGAAAATAAAACAAAATTTTATTCACAATGATTTTATTAATAAATCTAAAAATAATTTCTTTTAACATAAATATGATTTTTTCTAACGTAATGTAAAGTGGAAGAAAAATAGGGAATTTAGTCGAAAAATAAATTGTGAGCAATTTTGTTTTCAAAAATGGTATTTTTTTCGTGTTAATTCTTTATCTAGTATTTATTATTTCACGAATACTAACTAAACTAAAAAAATGCCAGTGGAAAATTAACATTTTTTTTTTGTAAAATGACAAAAATTATTATGTTTCAAACCTAAAAATCAATTTTTACAGGATCAAAAGTAATAAAAACTTTAAAATGTCGAATCTTAAGCCAAAAACACATATCTTAATCCCTTATCATCCACAAAAAGATGGACATTCTTAATCTAGCCAAGCCAATGTTAATTTATCTCTTAACCTATGAAAAAAAACAATATTAATTTGCAATTCGAGGCAGTGAAATTTTTTACATACAATTCTATGAAACGTATTTTGTTAAAGATAACCAAATTAAAATTAACACCCGCGTATTATAAATATTTCGAATTATGTAGACAGAAACAAAAAAAATTAAGCCGAAAAAAAATCCTGAGGTTTCTTTAAAAAAAAATACAATGTTTATGAAGTAAATTTAATTTGCAATAAACACATACCATGCCACGATCTTATCGTATTATCTACAATGAGAACATTTGCTATCTCTTTCATTCTGTATGAGAATGACAGAGATAGCAATACAGTTCATATCCAAATGTCAACATATATAGTTTCGATTTTTTCTGTGGCATTGAACGTGTTAACACTATAGCCGTATTATTTGGGTGGGAGAATTTGTATGACATAAAATATGGCAATAATCGGTGGTCCAATTGTATTCTCATGAAATGATCCTGGCTGGCGACTAAATGTGTAAAAAAAAAACATTTGACAAATCATAGACAAGTTAGTGAATGTCATAGATTAAATAAAGAAGATATGCAATAAAGATTAAAAACTTGGAATTATAACAAAATAACAATCTATTGTCTTCGAAAAAGGAATTTTTGAACTAATTATCATTTACAATACAATAAAAAATTGACAAATACAACCTACATTTATTTAATTTACCCATCAAAGTTAACAAACATTTTACAATACAGCCAAACTTTTTTTTTGTTATATACTTAGTATCGTTATGTGTTAAAATTCCAAGTTTTATTACATAACTAAATAATACACTACATTTGTGAGAATGCACATTCCCGAGTCAAAAACAAAACTTATACCTAAAATGTTATAAAACGAAATAAGGGCAATTATTATAAATATTTGCCCTTTTTCCGTACGTCAGTGGCTCAGGGGTTAAGTAGTTGACTTATCTACAGTTCCTAGGTTCGAATTCCGCCATATACCAACGTGTTTTTAAATTTACATACGTCCAACCAACATTCTTATGGTGAAGAAAAACATCGAGATGGTACAAATATCTGAGAAGAAATTCAAAGATATGTGTGAAGTGAACCCGCACTGGACCAGGGTTGACTATGATCTAGTCAACTAACTTAGGGTAGGCTCCGAACCCCTTAGTGGGGATTTACAGTGAGCTGGCGATGATGATGAAAGGCATATTTCAATTTTGTTCTTATAATTTAATCTCTGCCTACCTTCTTTTGGTTACAAGCATGTTTAGTTTATTAAACATGTTTTATTTTTCACTTTAAATATGTCTTTCTGATATGAAATGTACTTAATAATATTTTGTATGAAAATTACTCGAATGTAAAAATGCATGAAAATGTCTTAAGGCTATTTTTTTATGTAAAAAAACCACTATTTCAACTAATACAAACATGATTAACAACTAAACTTACAAACTATTTTATATACAAGTGAAAATAAATTTTGTACGTCTTTTCAATATAAAACCCAGACATAATTTTAGTTATTTCATTCAGTACAAAATACTATGACCAAATACTTTAATGTTCAAAATTATTTCTAATTCTAATCGAGAATTTTCACTAAACTGTTCAAAAATGTTGTTAAACCAGTTTAAAAAACAATGACATTAAAAGTATGTCAATGTTTTTATACATGTTTCCGCAGTGAAAACTATCGGAAAGACAACAGTATGTTAGACATACATTGTTTCACATTACTAATATTCTATTTGACTTATATTACAGCACAAACTCCTTTTGATTTCTTCAAATGCCACTTGATTTGAGTTTTTTTTTGATCTTCAAAATATAAATTTCACCAAACTTGTGAAAATAATTCTTTCTCTTTCTCTCTCTTATATCTATTTGTCTCTTTCACACTTAGAGCTATTTATCAAATACATTGAAGTAATCAAAAGGTATCCTTTGAACATTCTTACATAACGACACATCGCTTCGAGTCACGCTCTGACGTCATCGTGGGCGTGGGCAGTACGAGAGGCGTTGTCTGGGCGTGGGCCAGCGTGGCCGTGGGCGTGGGCTTGATGGTCTCCGGGTCGAAGGCATCGTCTGCGGCAACGGGCGCGCTCTGCGGCAGGTCCGTGTTGATACCCACGATCTAATAACAAAGAGATTAACATATAAGTGAGCTGGCTATTTGATTTCCGCCATTTTGGTGCTGATGGTAACGGTTTATAGGTTAACGGAGCGAAGCAAAAGTCGTAATTTTCAAGCTATCTCCTATCCATTTATAGAGGTCAATGAGAAATATATATACCAAGTTTTTCTTTATCATCTTTTATCAATATCCAAGTAAACAGAAGAAAAATGAAGTTGTATACAATAGTGTGTTTGCGTGTTGGAACAAGCAGTGTGTACCTCAGCAGCTCGGCGCGCGGGCAGCGGCGTTGAAGTGGTGCGGAATGGGCGCGTTAGGCGCTCCAGTAGGCGCGGCCGCTTGGCGCCCTCGCCCGCGCCCGCGCCCACAGCCCCGCCGGCCTCAGCCGCGCCTTCGCTCTCGCCCATACCCTCGCCCGCCTCCGGCCGCCGCTTGCGACCCACCACTGTACCAGTCGGACGAGCATTGGACTCTCGAGCTGAAATATAGACATATATTTTATTTAATTTCTTAAATAATCACAGCATAATTCTGACTAAATCTCCACAAAATCAACTTGGAATTGTAACAAATAGCACATTGGCCGGTGCAATATCATAACCACATAGAAGACACTTGACAAGATCTAACATATTCTTTCGATTGATAAATGTGCTAGAGGTAAAATTAATATCCCCTTCTCCTTTCATGAGAAAACATCGTGAACAGAAAGCGTCTTTTTGCGTGTCCCATTTTCTATTTATGAAAGTTACTTGCAGACGCCTATGTGCAGCGGTCACCGCAATATTTTAGCCATGTTTTTATGATGATAAAAGTATGAAACAATGACCATTGATGGTGGCGAGCGAGTGTTGGCTGGTGTTGAAGCTGTGTGTGAGTGAGAGAGGCTTGAGGTCGCGGTATGAGCGGCGCGCGCGGATGGTGCGCAGCGCGGCGAGGTAGCTGTCCTCGGGCGCGCTCGTGTCGCACGCCGCAGCCTCCGCATCCGCGAATGATTCCGTTATGTCCATCTCCATCGTCGTATTGTTGCCTGCAACAAATATTTGTTAGCAAAAACATTTGAAAACTAAGATTAATATTAAAAAATCACTGTCAATCATGAGTTTCAAGTAAATTAATTTATTATTTTCTATTGGAAAATCAAAAGTAGTACAAAGTCTGTGGACTGTAAGTCATAGTAATGACTTACGTCAAATCTTGCTGAAAAAATAAAAAATAATTGACATTTTTAAGGATAGCTCATAAATTACTCATAACATAAACTGAAACAAGGAATATATTTTTGTAAATCGCTAGAATGACGTTGATAAGATAGTGACATCTGACTGTTGACTCTAGCGCCACCTACATAGAGCTTTCAGTCTGGTCAACAATAGAAATCTTATGTATGTATTATTAGGAAGAAAATCCGACACTGTGCCGGTGTGGCGCAACACTAGCCTTACTAAAATGTCGACGTTTATGTCCCCTCACTAATCAATCTGAAACTTGTAGAATGATTAGTGAGGGGTTTCTAGGGGGGGCAAAGGATTCTAACTAATAATGCATGTACAGACCGGTGTAGTTGGCGAGTATGGAGGTGGCGGTGTTGTCCGCCAGACGCGCGCTCCTGCGGTACGGGCTGACCTTGACGCGGGACCGCGAGTACCGCGTGTCGCGCCGCGTCTCTCCCCCCGCACCGCCCGCTACCCCTGCAACACCCCCGTCACACTACACATACCCTCACACTGCCTCTCTACATGCCTCTCTACACACTGCTATACCATATTCTAACTCCAATATTATCTTAATATTAATATAAGATGGATGGATGTTTGAAGGTATCATAAGAACGGATAAACGAACCGAGATGAAATTTGACATTAATATAGAACATACTCTGGATTCGCTAAGCCGCTAAGTTCACGCGATAAAGATATATTTCGCGCGGATAAAGTCACGAGCAAAAGCTGTTATATGCACACGTCCGCACTCGACGGCGGCTGATGTAACACTGAGTTAATTCAACCCCTCCCCCTACCACTGATTAATTGTGAATACAATATTCTTTACATACCCTCATTTCCCTTCACATAAATTTAACAATTTTTTTTTATTATAAATAAATTGAATTTGATTTTACTTATTTACGAATTTTAGCCACGAAATTAAGTTTAAGTCTCGAAATTTTATTACTCTCATTTTAAGCATGATTAGAGGAGAGAGAAAAAAAAGAAATTCGATTTTAGACAAAAAGATAAGATTTATAATAAAAATACTCACCCTCAATATTTTCAACTTCGATTACCATTTCTGTGACGGTTCCTTCGGACTTGTGTATATTCTCCTGTTTATCTTCTGAGCCACTTTCTTCCAACGACTTAGTTTCTTCACTCTTCTTTATCTCCTTCTTTGGCGAGTCTTTATCTAGAGATCTCTTGTCTGAAGGTTTGGGAGAGTTGGCGGAGCGGAGACGACGGTCCGTGATCAAAATATCTTCTTTCAATTTGAGCAGTTTCATCTCCTTGGACTGAAATATAAAAAAAAATTAGATTTTGATGCGATTTTATTTGACAAAGTGTATTAAAAGTTAGTAACAGGCAATGCATGCAAAAATAAAATATATTAAAAACGGTTATGAAAAAAAATAACACATAAAAAACCACAAGCCTTGTTTGTAAATTGAAAAGTAGGGGTACATCATCAATTGTGTGTTTATTGAGACTAGCTGACGCCCGCGACTCCGTTCGCGCGGTATTTAAGAAAAAACTTAAATAGTAAATATGTGTTCTTCCAGACTATGTTCTACATCTATGACAAATTTCATTAAGATCTGTTGAGCCGTTGCGGAGATACCTTTTAACAAATATCCATCCATCTAAACCAGTGGTTCCCAAACTTATATTGTCTACTGCCAACTTTGAGAATAATTTTTTTTTACCGCCCCCACATTTTCACATATTTAAAAACCACCATAACTTCAAATTAAATTAATAAATTATTGTGACCTATATATGTATATTAACGGAGAATTGTAAAGGAAACGTTTTACTATAACCCGCAACTTGAGACCTGCAGCGCCCACAAGGGGGCGTTATCGCCCACTTTGGAAAAGACTGATCTAAACATTCGCATTTATAATATTAGTAAGAAAGTAATATGTTAAATTGTATATCACAAAATGCTACATTAATTTGTACCATGCAATATTGTATTTATAAGTTTTGTCTGTCAAGGAGATATTACGCGAGAGGTTTTTCTGGTCTGCCTATCCCCTAAGTTACGTGCATAAGTTGTGTTGTCTTGTCTGTCAGTATGACTTACATCGTCAGTTTCCTTGTCAGCCTGCTTGACGGAGGCGGGGCGGGGTGTCTCCGGAGTACGCGTCACCTTTGCCTTCACACATACACCGAGTTAGTATATAAAAAAACCTTTGAAACCCTTTGATAATTATGTTGTTAAATCAAATCTATGAATGTACCAATCACCGTGTATAACGTAATATGAACCTTATTGCCCTTGTAATAAGATACATTAATCATTGAAATGTCATTAAATGAACCCTTATCCTCAATATGAAACAAACACAAACAAGATACAATTGTACAGGATGTCCGAAAATGACGTATACAAAGGAGCATCAAAATGGCGAAATCAAAATTTATTTGGAGTAAAAAAATATTGAAAACAAATTTTCTCTCTAACAAAAAAAAAATTGTTCTGATATTCGTGTTTGCGAGCCTCCTGTAGCTTTTATGAAAAAGGTTTATTTTACAATAAAGAAAAATTTATGACACATAAATCTATTTAAGTTTAAATCCCTCTAGCGGCTAAACGAAGCAACTTAGGATAGAAATAAGTTTTCGTCTTATTTTGGACTAAGAAGTCTGTGGTAAACGGTACACGTCTTTCCCGGACACCCTGTATATTATCATGAGTTTAAGTGCATTTTTAATATACTCCAATGAACTAATAGCTATGAAACACACACATTATTGTAATATATTATAGTCAGTCACGTCACGTCACAAAATGTCACATCAAATCATGTCATCGTGACGTAATATGTCATACCTGTGACCTTCTCGTGACGCTGCGTAAATCAGTGTCGGTGGGTTCCGTATCAGAGGTATCATCGTATGCCAGTTCAGGGAACATCTCATCATTGTCAGCCTCAACAATCACCAGTTCTTCTTCACCGTCATCAGATTCACTAGCTGTACCGTTACTGGCTTTACCGTTCTGACGGCTCGCTTCACCGTTGTGTTTCATTGTGTCAGATTTTTGTTTATCTTCGTCTTTAGGCTGCTGAAATTATTTATTATGAAAACAAGCTATGTTTATGATAAATATGAAAAAAATCGGAAAAGAAAACTTCCAATTTGTAGCCTACGTGTTCTTCCAGACTATGTTCTACATATATGAAAAATTTCAGCGCGATTTATACAGCTGTTCTGGAGTTCACTTAACACAAAAATGGATTTTAAAAATTACTAGTAAATATAAATTCAAGTAAAGTAGTTTAAAAAAGTAGTTACCTTTGCAGTCTTCTCCGCACTTGTGCCTTCCTCAATTTGTTCAACTGCTCTCTCTACTGCGGTCTCTTTCTTTTCCGTTGACTTATCAACTTGCTTGTCTATATTTTTATCTTTCTTATCAGAAGATTTATCTTTCTTCTCTGTTGTCTTTTCTTTCTTTTCAGACTTATCTGATTTCTCTTTTTTATCAATGGATTTATCGGCACTTTTGTCTTTCTTGTCTACAGATTTATCCAAACTTTTATCTTTCTTGTCATGACTTTTATCTATTTTTTCCTTCTTTTCGGCTTTGTCCGCATGCTTCTCCGCTTCTTTCTTATCTTTTTTATCTGCTTTATCATCGTGTTTGTCCTTTTGTTTATCGACATGCTTCTCGGATGCGATCTTTTCTTTTTCCGCGTTAGCTGCCATTTTTTTCTTCATTTCTTTAACCGGGCTTGCGGTTTGCCGCTGTAAGATGCAAGAAGGAAATGTCATATTACAAAAAAAAAAGTGGTTTTTACGCAAATAAAACCACAGTTTCCCACAGGTATATGACTTCAAAGTATTTATGATTAGTAATAACATAGTTATGCTGTAAGTGATAACATATCGGTGTGTAAGTTAATCTTGACATAATAACCCTAAGAGATAAGAAACCTCACCTTATCTATGTCTTCCCCGACAGGGCCTTGTCGTGTCACCATTTGACTCATGACCTGATGACAAACAAAATAGCAATAATAAACCACATTTTAACTATCTATAGTCTTACGTAATAGTTAACTTTTGAAAGGGCTGTAATATCACGTAAATTAAAAAAAAATTATTTTTATTTTTTGTCTCACCCCTTTTCGTACAATATGTAGTAGGCAGATGATCATTGCAAAGATATGCAAAACATTTTTTTTATATGTCTGGCATTTTTTTTATTAAAACGATTTTTTTTAATTGCCAATTACTTTCATCTCTAAAACTCCGTCTCTAAAATTGTACATTCGGAAAGGAAAAAACTCAAGTCTCAATTATATTACGCTAAGTATATCTTGGCATTAGTGTTTATAGAGCTAGATATTTTTAGAAGTGCGTTGACATGACATACGACTTCCATAACTATCGAATAATGTGTTTTCATGTCTTAGTGTTTTTAATACCAAAATATGTATTAATTCGCAGTTTTTTTTATTGGCAAAGACAAAATAATCCATAATTTTATTGAAGTTCCTCCGTCGTCTTTAATTTAAATTAGGACAATTTAGAAAAAAGTACAAATCATTCAGCACAATTACTTATACTATTATACATTAAAAGTGCGTTCACAAAATGAAATAAGTTCCTGAATTTTATATCGTAAAAAAAATTAATAGCAAAGAAAATGTAGTAACAAGTTTTATGATAAAATCGTTTTAGTCACCCAAATCAATTGCAAAAATATTAACTGTCAACCTATGTACATACGTCTCTATAAAAAAAAATTCCCATTCAATCCAAAAAAAGATACAAAAGATAGCCGCGGTATAATTACTTTATTTTTAAATCAATAACAAAAGATCTTGTACAACATAAACACTTCCATCAGTTCACACATGTCATGTGCGCGTCTAAACATCGCCTAGCTCTATGGTCGGGTCGGGGTGAATGACCTCGCCCACTCGTTGTTGAATAGCCGCTTGGCTCAATTCATACAATATGCGAGGATAGATTAGTACAAATAAGAATGAAGCTTATCTAATTAAGTGTAGCTTTAGTATATTACTAAGGGTCTACTCAGTAAACATTATAAAACTGGCGCAGTTAAAATTCAAAATATTTTTTTAGCTATCTTACTAATATTATAAATACAAATGTTTAGATTGATGGATTGATGTTTCAAATTATCTCCGGAACTGCTCAAAGGATCTTGATGAAATTTGGCACAGATGTAGAATATAGTCTGGAAGAATACATAGGCTACTAATAAAGACGTAATCGCCTTCGACAGCTATTCAATAATAAATTTCTTAACGATCGGACATTGCTAGAAGTGCACAAACGATTTGTACGTTGTAAATATAAAACGACGCATATTAATTACCAAATAGTCAACTGACTAATAACAGTATTATTATTTTTTAATGACACTTTCGTCATTTGTAACCAGTCAGAGATAAGATTTTGACCAAAAAGTTGACCAACTAAAGATCACTTGACTATTATTGCGACTAGCTACCGCTAGGTATCTAACCTAGAAAAGCCGCTATCGCTTTTCCGTGTTATTTTGGACCGCAAATGAATCACACATGCGTTGTTCAGACCAGTATAGCAAAGGGACGTTATGTACATACAAGGGGGGATCTGTGATACTTAAAATAATTTTTTTTCATTCAAGTCGATGTACTTGTTAGGGAAAGTTACGGTACAACATTTCCTCATACAAATTTGAAGAGTTTTCACTAAGATTTATAAAATTTTCAATGTAAAAGAAATTTATATCTAAAAAGGGTCTAGACAGCAAATCTATGTCGTTCTTAACGATTCAATTTGTTGGTATATTACAGGAAAACTGTAGAATATACGTCATGGCATTTAAATCTTCCTGTACTATTTAACTATTACGTTGAAATAGAACAATATAACTTGTGGTAAATAGCAATATAATTGGACGATATTATTGTACTGAGAATCAACAATTTTATGTAATAAAAACTAAAGGCATCACTTATTGTTATCCCTTTCATTCTCTAAAAGAACAACAGAGATAACAAGCAAGTAAGAGATAATTTATCAATTTATCGTAATACAAACCCATTGGTGAGTCATATCGTACATACAAAATAAAACCAAAAAATTGTATTAAAATTTCTAATATTATAAACACGAAGGTTCAGATGTATGGATGGATGTTTTTACATTGTATTTCCAGAACGGATTAAGGGTTAAATTATTCAAACTTTCGTGAGACGTTATACTAAACTGATATATAAACACGGCTAAACACTCACGTATATACGTCCGGTGGCGGCACCGACTAGTTTCGAGCCCATCGGGGGCCCTTCATCAGGATGAGTGGTACTGGTATTATTTCGCGGACGCGGCCCTCCGCTCACTAATACCAGTACCACTCATCCTGATGTAGGGCCCCCGATGGGCTCGAAACTAGTCGGTGCCGCCACCGGACGTATATACGTGAGTGTTTAGCCGTGTTTATATATCGGATTAAGGGTTTTTGCTTTAATTTGTAATAGTAAATAATCTGGAAAGAACACATAGGCTACTAAATTTTTATTTAATTCCTCGCGGTGGGTGTCGCGTGCGACAACTAGCGTGCATATATGTATATCACGTCACCCACGTAAGTACGACATAAAAACATACCATCGGAGTCATAGTAATGTGGGTCGAACTTAACTAACTCTAGCACCTGTCTTAACTGGGTCATAACAGTGCCGCATTCTTTTTACTCACTAGAAAACTACTTTTTTATAGTCAACTTTAAGTGATCCCTGGAGAGATAATAAATTGATAATAAAACATTCCAATGCTTTCCTTTATATTTGGATGATTTTTTTTTATATAAAAATATTAGCAGATTTTTTGCTAGGATATGATTTACGACAATAGTCGAATGGCGGGATTCGAACCCCCGACCTGGTGTTCGGAAATCCGTACCACTAACCATTAGGCTATTGACGCTTTTAATTTGATTTTTTGAGAGATTGGAAATCCTTGATTTGTCTATAAATCTTACTAATATTATAATTGCGAATGTTTGGATGGATGGATGGATTGATGTTAGAAGGTCTCGATGCAAAATTGACATACTTATAGAACATAGTCTGGAAGAACACATGAGCTACTAATTAAGTTTTTTTTATAACGCGGTAACGGAGTCGCGGACGACAGCTAGTATAAATAAATTTGATGTTTTTTTTTTAAACTAAGGAGCCTTAACAATTTAATATTCCAATACCAATAAGATGACGTCTATTTTATCTAAATTTATATACATAAGGACATTTTAAAGATAAGAATTTGTTTTTTTCTTGTAATTTTAAATTACATAAGACTGGATATCACGTTGAAGGCCAAAGAGGCGAGCGTTTGATTTGTCTATGAAAGAAACCGGTTAGTTTTTGTGAGGTACAGATAAGATTACTTTAATGTACTACCTTAATTTGTATGAAAGTATTGTCTACAATAAAAATTCTATTATACAAGATACGAAAATTCTTTTAAGTTTTTTTAACGAGAATGAACAAAAATAGATTGACAAAAATAAATAATACATCAGGCTTTTCGATTGTTATTATAATCCCAAAATCAGTTAAAATTGGCCATTTTAGATAAAAAAATCCAAAAATCCTTCGAGATCTATTATTGGATTCGGTTATTCTTTTTTTTATATCATAAGGTGGTAAACGAGCGAGCGGCCACCTGAAATCGCTGAAATAGCGAAGTGACCGTTGCCCATAGACATACGCAATTGCATACGCGTTGCCTACCTTTAATCGACGGAGGAGAGGATGCACAGAAAGAAAATATTTTCCCTTTCCATGCATCCTCTCATCCGGAAAGTCCACTTCCACTTCCCATCCTTTCCTTATAAGAAAAAGGGTGGGAAGGGAAAGAGGACTAATTTTGGCCTCCGGGACGCACACTCATCAGACGAAACGCGGAATTACTTCCACTTCACGCCTGTCTTCTTTGTGGCCGTGGTATTTCACCGGGCGAGCCGGGCCGATTCGTGCGAAGATGTTAAAGCAGGCTCTACCACTGTTAAAATTCTACACTAATATTATAAATGCAAATGTTTAGATGGATGGATGTTTGTCACAAGTTATCTCAAAACTGCGAAACGGATCGAGCTAAAATTTGCCAAAGATACACAGAGTCTGGAAGAACACATAGGCTACTTATATGTTTTTTTTGGCGCGGAAGGAGACGCGGGCGGTCGCTACAAATATTACAATAAGTATTATATATCAAATACTATTTATACGAGAAAAATATTTAGATGTAATAAATAGAAAATATTAAATTCGATAATTACATTTAAAGAAGCAGTTACATACCTCTAACAGTGTTGTATTTGTACTAAAAGATGTCTTGTGATTCGTAAGGATATGATCACTCTCACACATTCACACTTGTAATGCAACTTTCATTCATAACACAACAATGAAACTAGACTGTTAGTGATGTCCAAGATTTACTTTGACGTTAGACCAATCGACCTACCGATTTATACAATCAGGTCGATAGGTCCAACGGCAGATACATCTAGTAGCCATATAATTAGTACTTTCGTGAAACCATGACTGTTTTAATTAGTATCAAACTAGGAGTATCCAAGGAAGACCCTATTTAAAAATGTTTAGCAGCTGACGCTTCTCAGAAATCGTTATATTGAATTTAGGTTATTTAAATTATGTCATATAATACCATCTATCAAATTTAAAGTGTAAAGTATCCACTAATCTTCGCAATAAGATTAGTAGATAAAAACAAACAAAATGTCGCGAAATGTAATCAAAACAAAAACACGCGCGAGCGCTATATTGCATGATAAGGATTGCAAATGTTTATTTTTAAATTATATCAAGAAAAAATTAAATTATAATAAGCTATGCTATCTCTTTTCACGGTCATGACCTATTAAACTATCTTAGTTATTATTATTTTTCTATACATTTAAAACGAATTTCTACTCTTTATTTCGTTGTTTACTGCGAAAATCGCTTTTATAAATGACCGTAGCAAACAATGTAGATATCATCATCAGCTAGTATACGTCCCCACCGAGGGGCTCGGAGCCTACCCTAAATTAAGGGTGACTAGGCCATAGTCAACCACGCTGGCCAAGTGCGGGTTGACTTCACACATATTTTTTGAATTTCTTCTCAGATATGTGCAGGTTGCATCACGATGTTTTCCTTCATAGTAAGAATAAATGTCGGATAAATGTACTTATGTAAATCGGTAATTGAAAGACACATTGGTACATGGCGGGATTCGAACCCAGGACCTGCAGATTGCAAGCCAAGTGCTCGACTCCTAAGCAGGTGAAATACCACGACCACACAGAAGACAGGCGTCAAGTGGAAGCAATTCCGCGTTTCGTCTGATGAGTGTGCGTCCCGGAGGCCTAATTTAGTCCTCTTTCACTTCCCACCCTTTTTCTTATAAGGAATGCATGGGAAGTGGAAGTGAACTTTCCGGATGAGAGGATGCATGGGAAGGGAAAATATTTTCTTTCTGTGCATCCTCTCCTTCGTCGATTAAAGGTAGGCAACGCATATGCAATAGCGTATGTATGTCTATGGGCAACGGTCACTTCACTATGACAGCGATTTCAGGTGGCCGCTCGCTCGTTTGCCACTTTATTATATAAAAAAAAAAAAATTGATAAAATATTTAAGCACCCAGTATTGTCTATTTTAGTAAAAAAACAATAGAGTTTTGGGGAATTTGCAATTTAACCTCATGAAGTCATAGACACAAAACAGCTTGATTATAATGCTGCGTGAGTTATTGTTTGCATTCACAGGAAACGGTCAACAGTGACCGACACGTGGTTCGATTGTCGGACTTACGTATTGTTATGCGGGCACTTAGCCAGCAAGATATACGAGACGAATGCAATATGCGATTACAACACCGGCTAATTTCCTAACTGACACAGAGTTTGATTAGTTTGAGAAATCTACACTTAGAGACTGTTTACATAACCATTAAAGAATTCTGAGTTACACAGTTAATCTTTAACCTTTTAATTTGACCTTTCTTTTCTAGATATAATGCTTATAAAATTAGTAATTGTGCCAAACAGAACTATCTTACTTCTTACTAATATTATAAATGCGAATGTTTAGATGGATGGATGGATGTTTGTTAGAAGGTATCTTAAGAACTGCTTCATGGATCTACGCTAAAATTTAGCACAAATGTACAACGTAACATGGAAGAACACATAAGCTACTAATTAAGTTTGTTTTAATTCCGCGCGTACGGAGTCGCGGACGACAGCTAGTAGACTTTGAATTCCTCTTCCAAAGCCATGTTATGTTCTTAGTTTCCAGTCAAAATGCAATGTTTTTCGTTAGTTTGTATATATTGTATATATGTCTGTACAAACAGACGCTTTTTAATATTCCCAGCTTGCACAATATGAAAACAAATATTTCCTATGCTAATTTCAGTCTACAACACATTACCATAGGCCCCAAGTATGCATGTCAAGACAACGCATTTACAAGTTAAAGTTAAAGATGTTTTTAGAGACGAATGAATATTTTAAGAGCACTGGTTACATGCACAAGAGATAGGGATTCAGATATTAAGTAAATAAAGTAATATTCAAATAGCAGTTGCAGCGACTTCGTTCGCGCGGAATTAACAAATAGATAGTAGACAATTTGCACACCTACTGAATATGTATATAAAATTTCATAAAAATTGGTTAAGCTAATATTATGACAGTAGAATTTGATATATAGCTGTCGCCCGCAACTCTATACGCGTTGTTTAAAAAAAAGTAGCATCAGCAGTTACAAGCATTTGTTTTGTAATATAAAACCTAGATATTGTATTAATCATTTTATAAAGCACAAAGAAAACGGCAAGATTTAACTTGACCTAAAACTTTAAATTAAGTTATAAAGTCTTAACTTCGTAAAAGATAATTTAATAACCTTCGCTTACGTTTACAACCCTAGCTTGTACTTGTTAAAAAAATCTAGGTCTCACTTAGAGCATATTTGAATAACTGAGTACTAACTATTTGTTAATATTTAGTAATTTATGTTAAGTAGTGAAAAGAGCTAAATGTATTCATGCAAATAGCCATCCTGTATAAATTATGTAGTTTCACACTTTAAACATAAGAATATTAGCTTTTGCTTGTGACTGTCCATGTAGAATTTAAAAAAAAAGTTAATAAGTAACCTATGTGTTCTTTTAGACTATGTTCTACATCTGTACCAAATATAATATAAAACCATTGTGCCATTCCGGAGATACCTTCAAACAAACATCCATCCAAACATTTGCATTCATAACGGTTAGATTTACGGTGCAAAATTATTTAAATACAACTCATGTGCATCTCTGTGACATCTTAACCTAAGTTATTCTAAGAGGTTAAAATGAGGTTAAGTGTTACAAAATCACATGCAAAACTGACAATATTGTATACATACATATATAGGTATGGTAAAACAGAGTTGCTTACAATAGGATTTAATCAAAACACAAAAAAAATCGGAAAACTATCTTCGTCATAATCTCAACTCCATCTCTATCAAAGGAGGATTTAATTTTAAAAACTGTGATTTATTCCACACATAATGTAGTTGATATGTTTTTAAATAGAAGGGTGCATAATTAAATAGCTTAATGCATGTATCACTAGTATTTTCCATGTTTGTCAGTTACTTACAATCTTTGCATTACTGTAGTACTAGCAGTTGGATGTAAATCCGTCCACAGGATTAAAAAACTTATTAAGTATCCTATGTGTTCTTGCATACTATGTTCTACATCTATGCCAAATTTCTGATCCATGCAGAGATACCTTCTAACTAACATCCATCACACACACATTCACATTTATATTAAATTAAGTAAGAAGGACTATGTAATAAATGTTATTCTCCCAATATTTCTTTGTTAAACAGGTATATTATTGTATATAAGTGTACATACAGCCATTTAGGTTGGTGTTGTATTACAAAGCAATGAAGCATGAGGCTTTCACGCATCAGTGATTAATATGCCAAGGGCCGAACTTCCTATCATTATGGCTTTATTATCTATCTGTTACCAATATAACACACCTAGTTTATTTATGTAACATTTTAAAAGTATGAATGTATGTATGCTTTCATTTATATTATTCTCCATACACTAATTATATAGAGATTTGGTATTATTACAATTTTGAAAATGGAATAACTGCCAGTAATCTAAAGCTGTAATTGTACCTTTGAGTTCTCTAAATACTTTTTTATTTAATGACATAATCAACCTTTTTCTTATTAACATATTACACTACACATTTACTGAATAATCACAATATAGCTGAAAACGTATTTAATTGGTAAATATCCAAATCCTTTAGTTATGGTTACAAAGTTATCACAGTGTTCTGATTACAAATTATTTCTTGCTACTAATATTAAATTTCAAACAATAATAATAATGAGTGATATTAAATTATATTGTTATTGAACTATAATAAACATAATAATATATCTATATATCAATACTTACCTATGACTTTTAGCAAAACAAGAATCTCACGTAAATTATTTCGGCGACAAGGTCAGACCTAACATAAAACTTGCGCGTTTCGTTCACTTCCTAATTTTTTGTAAACATATTCCAATTCGATTATTACCGGCAAATGAATAGAAAACGATGTAATAGTAGTTTTTAAATGTTTAGTAAATTAAAGCATTGCTAAATAACATTCTTTTTTTAGATTAAAAGAATGAAAAAAGATATTTAGGCTTATGAAATATGAGAAGTACCGCGCAAATTTCATCTAACCTACGAATTGGCTTTAACCTAATTTGTGATATTTTAAGTGATACTTCTATTACATATATATTGTTATATATAACAATATTATACAAATACTTTTAAAACATGAAATATATAATCAAAGATTCAAAATATTTAGTAAAAACAATACACAAACCAAATAATGGCGGGCGTTATAACATGGCGCGCTGACCATTTAATAAGAATTAAAGGGTTTAAAAAATGTTTTACTCACTTTTCCTTGTCCTTTAGCACTTGAACAAAAAACCGAAAAGACCACTCACTATTTTTATAAACACTTACAACTAACAACAAAATTAATGATAAACTATCAAAGACCTGAAAAATTATTATCGCGACAGCGTCGTCAAAAGTTCATAGCAAAAGCAAAAGGCAAAGACAAAAAGCGCAGAACAATTTTGTGAACGCATGAACGCGGCGCGGCGCGAGTAGCGCGAGCTGTTTAATGTTGCCAAATAACACTGACCAAGTGTCCAAAGTGACCACAAAATCGCCAAATCAGTACGCCATATCATGATCCGTTTTTATTATAATTTATTACACCTATTTAAATAAAGATATAAAATTTATCTTTCCATTGTATTGTCAGTTCAGTTTTTTGCAGTTTTCTTAGGAAATATTTTTAGGGCAACCTTCCGGATTTCATATAAATCAAAGTTTTCATGCATAAAAATATATCTCAAGCTGTAAAAATTACATACCCTTATTTTGATAAAAACTTAAAAATGATTATTTTTTTAGTTCTTTTTTAGTTTTTATACACACGAAATTTAAAATTCAAATTGACATATGTCAAAACAGCACATTCTGTTTTTTGACACTGTCAATTTTAAAAATACCATGTGCGTTACGATTCAATCGTTTTATTATATTTAGTTCTATAAGTAAAATATCATGGATTACGTAGTAGGCAGTGTCGCGGCTTTAGTAACTGGTAACGTTACACCGAACCGGCCTAAATTTCTAAAACGTGCGTTAACCCCGACAAAACACCAACCCTCTCCAAATGTTACCCCTAAGAGTGAGCTGGTTGATGACCGGTCAATTTTCCTTTCACCGACAATACAAAAGAAGAAGGCTGTTGTAAAAAAATCACCTAAAAGAATATTTGAGAACCCTGACTTGGATGTTACCAATGATGATGAAGGCAGTACCAAATCTAAAAGTCCGAAGGCCGAAAAAGTTAAAAAGCATCTTGAAGAAGACCTAGACGCCGATTTAAGTCCTAAATCTCTTAAAAACAAAAGCCCAAGCATTAAAGATGTACAATTTCAGAGTACAGAAGATGAAAATATGGATGTTTCGGGCAGCCCGCAAGTTCAGAATGAAAGTACTCCTAAAAAGAAGAAAAAGAAACAAAGTCTTATTAATGCACCAATGGACAATATTAATACTTCAAATGACAAAATTGATGAAATTAAAAATAAAACAATCTCACCTAAAAAGAATAAAAAAGGCAAAAAAAAGACTATTGTTGAAACAAATGTTGACAAGGAGAATAATATAAGCCATGCAAATGAAACTCAAACTGATGAAACAGAGAAATCAGATACAGAAAAAACTACAATTATCAAAGTAGGAAACATTTTAAACAATGATGAGGAATCAAAAAATCCAAAAAAAGGTAAAAAGAAAAATAGGAAACAAAAGAAGAAATTGAATAATCAACCAGAAAATACAGACACTTCGGTAGCAAAAAATACACTGACTGAATCTAACACAAGTGTTTCAAAGAAAATAAAGATAAAAACACTAGTTAATCCCAATGCTATAACAGATAAAGACAGTGATTCAGAACATGATTCCGATGATGAAATTGATTCAGAAGATGAACAGAACAATAAAGAAGTACTTGATACAGGCCCAGTAGAAGAAAGCTCAGAAGATGAAGAAGAAAAACCAGAGAAGAAAGAAAAAGTACAGAAAAAAGAAGTAGTTATCAACACAGAAGAAGAAGTCAAAAGAACATTATTTGTAGGAAATGTGCCTTTCAGTCCAAAATGCAAGAAGGAAATTAAAAAGATCTTTAATAAATATGGGCAGATTGAAACAATAAGGTGCACAGAATATTAAGAATTATCAAAAATACTATAATGTTAAGATTAATTTTGACATCACTTCCATGATCTTTGAAAAAATAAAGATAACAAAATGTTTTTGTACCAAGAACTGTAACAATGGAAACTTATAATATACTTTATAATCTTATTATATTCATTAATATTCTTCAAATTGATTGCATCTAAATGTTATAAATGTGAATGTTTGCATGTATTGATGAATGGATGTTTTTTAGAAGGTATCTCCAGAATGGTTGCATGAATCTCACTGAAATTTAGCATAAATGTAGAACATAGGCTGGAAAAATGTCTGAAAAATATATCTTCTTCCAGAATCCGCACTGTACCTGTCAAAGATGGCCGAGCCACCCCTAAGGTGGCTGTAATCAAGAATGAACTCCATCCAGACCGTTCCACTGTCAATGTTTACGTGAAATTTAGAGATGCATCATCTGTGAATGAGGTATAAAAATTGATTTATAATTTATTAAGTCAGAATAACCTATAATCCATAATTATTGATTTAAAAATATTGTTTCTGACAGAAAAATCTAGATTATTCTGCTTTACAATTATACTTATTTAAAAAAAAATACTTACAGCTTTCTCATATTAATTTTATAATAAGAAACAAAATATTTATAAAGTCACTAATTTTCTTTTCTTGTCCTGTCCTTTAATTCCAGGCCTTAGCAGAAAATGGTACTGTATTAAATGACCATCACTTAAGAGTGACCCGCAGTGACTCTACTGGGTCAGAACATGACCCCAAATGCTCCGTTTTTATCGGAAATCTACCATTTGCTTTGGAAGATGAGGCTTTACAACAGAAGTTCCAGCAATGCGGAGAGATTGAATCTGTACGGATAATAAGAGACAAAAAGACAAGTGCAGGGAAAGGTAAGGACAATTAATAAATTTTTGTAATTAACATGTTCATCTAATAACCATGCAGTGTTTTATGGGAAGGAAAGGGTTCTGATAAATTCACGGAACAGAGAAAGGATGGAAGGGTGGGGGCTAAAATAAGAGTGTTAAACACATTCAATACCACTGAATTGGATGGATACGATTATTTACTATAATATTTAAGATATATATAAATTTAAGAATTAGTAAGCAAAAACTATTTTCTATTACTGTTGAGAACTGTAAAATACATATTAAAATAACTATTACAGGTTTTGGATATGTTAACTTCAAATCTAAAGATGCTGTAGAATTAGCCCTCGCGTTATCCGAAGAAGAATTAACAATTAAAAACAGAATACTCCGTGTAAAGAGATGCACACAAACAAATACCAAACAAAAACCTCAGCAAGAAAATCGCTGGGGAAATTTCCAAGGAGGTCGTGGCAGGGGAATTACAAGAGGTGGATTTGACAGGGGAAATACGCGAGGTGGATATGGTAGAGGAAATGATCAAGGTAGCTTTGGCCGAGTGAATGCGCGAGGTGGATTTGGTAGGGGAAATGACCAAGGTGGTTTTGGTAGAGGAAATACACGAGGTGGCTTTGGCAGAGGAAGTACCCGAGGTGGTTTTGGCAGGGGAAATCCGCGAGGTGGTTTTGGAAGAGGTAATATGCAGGGTAGGGAACAATTTGGGAATAGAGATGACAGACAAATGGGAAGACCTACGTATGATGATAGTAAGGCGGATGGCGCTATGAGAAGATTAATGAAGAAGAGAACTAACCAGGTGAATAATCTTGTGATATTGAGGTGGGTTTCCACTGTCAAAATTATTGTACAATATTTTTTTTATAAGTATTTTGACAGTGAAAACTCATGTTTACATTTACATTCAAAAACCACAAAAAATTCGCTTGTGTAACAAGTAAAAAAAAATAAAAGTTCTGAAAAATTTTACAGTAGGAGTTTATCTAGGACAAACTATCCAGCTTTTTATATTATATTAAATGTAATTTGATTTTTAATCTGTAATAATGTTTACCAGGACGGAGGTGAGGGTCCTCCAAACAAAATGCAAAAAACTATCAATCAGCCAGGGAAAAAGCAGCGCAAGGAATTTGTTGGAATGACTGCTGAAAAGAAAAAGGTAAATATCCTGCCTATAGTAACTTTTTAATTCGCCAATAGATGGCGCTGCTTTAATTTCCTTAGAATGCTATCTCCGAGAGTTGGTGTCGCTGTTGTTCGGACCGGATCGAAATCTATACGTCCAGGTTCAATTCCCGCCATGTACGAAATTTGTTCCTCGATTTTTTAATTTCATATGTACGAGTTAATTTTAAGTTATTAATTTTCAAATATTAATTCAATCTTTTTTACAGAAAAGCAAATTCGACAAAGGACAAAAGAAGAAGAAAGCACTCAGTGAGATATTAACTAAATAATATCAAAAGTGATAAAACATGTAATTGTTAAGTCTTTAACATTTGAATATAAATGATAGTTTTATATTATTTTAATTTATACCTTTATATACCCTAAACTTTTATTGACAAACAATAAATGCTCAGTTTATCAAAATCATGGGTTGCGCCGATCAGTTTTAAATAGCAATCGCACAAAATATTTTTAACTGATTTATTTTGATAGGCGCTTTTACTATAATTTACTATCGTTGATTGAAGAATTTATTTTATATAATCGTCGCACTTTTATTTTCGTCAATATATGATGTCATCATCCACATTACAACCTGGCGAAAAAGTTTATATTACGTTAATTAAACTGAGAGTTCTTTTTGATTGCTAACTCAAAACTGTGATAGATGGCGCTGTACAGTTTCGTTGTCCAAATTAAGTGTTTTAAACATATTTTATGAATTTTGATACTTTAAATCACTCAGTTGGATCAATCTGGCAAAGTCCGCTTACAAATTCAAGTCTTACATACTGCTAGGGTTAAACATGTGCACTTTTCTGTATTGAGTATTTGCACTTGGTGTACAATATGTCGTAAACCAAAGTAAACATATATGTCGAATGTTTACTTTCCTCTCGGTGATGTTGCGAAAGATTTGCAATTCGAAGACCGTTGGTTAACACAGCATACACCACTAATTTAAAATGTACACAAAGTATGCGGAAATGCAACTTAAATAACTCCGTTTTCCCTTCGTCGGTTAACCGTTACGAGTTGTCTTGTCGATTGAGGTGTAAACAAGAAATCGACGCGCCTTCCTGCCACAATCGGCGTAGCCACTGACCGTTAGTAACGTGGCGAACCGAATATAAATTCGAATAATTCTTTATCACTTTAAAATATACGAGTACTGTACGATATTAAAGAGAAAGTGTTTTGTGTTTAGGCGCGAAATTGCGCCATAGAGAAGTGGCAGTGAAATTTATTTTTAATTGTACAATTTTCGTGTATGTGATTTGTTACATTTGATTTACAAGTGATTGTTGGATCTTTATAACTATTTAAAAAGGTAAGTTTATTTATTTAATAATTAATAAAATTAAATAGAATTTTAACGGACTTTTTAAACGACTAGATAAGTCTAATAATGAAGGGAAAAGTTTTTTTTTTGTAAAGTCATGTGTCAAAAAAGTAAAAGTTGTGACGAATGTTGAAAATGCCATCGGTTTAGCGTGTACGGTGTTAACGTACCCAAAGCAGGCATAAGAAATTAAGGTTGTAAGGAGAAAGTAAGGCAGGTGTATGAATGGGGACTGCGCCAACACTGCGCCTGTAAAGATGATGTTTTTTAGGTTCTTTATAGCTTGCACTGTTATGTCAAAACCGGATATTCTTACGGGGAACGTACCAGTTTCTACATAGATATAAAATATGTTAGGAATGTAAGCGTGTATTCTTAACTAGCTCTCGGCCGTGGTACCGTTCGCGCGTTATTAAAAACAATCTCACTTAGTAGCTATGTTCTTTTTGATTATGTTCTATATCTATGCCAAATTACAACGAGATTCATGCAGCTGTTCTGGAGATACATTCTAACATCCATCCATCCATTGTAACAATCACGTTTACAATATTAATTACTCCGCTGGCGCATCGACCCAAAGTGGGTCTTACAATATTAGTAAGAACTTATTCTTGAGCTAATAATACTTAAATGTATATTAAAACAAAGAACCCGTAAGACATTAAAATGTCACGTTTATTTTTATAAATAATAAACTGGATATTTGTGAATAAAATTTTTACTGAACTGTGGCTTTACTCGTTATCATTCACATGTTTGTCTATGGTTGGAAAATTACAAAATACTATATTAATAGTAATTATTACTATTTATCTATAGTGAATCAAGGAAACTTGTCTGTCTGAACACGCGGGATGTTATCTCCGTGTTACGTGCAGAGAGTGTGTTGCATAATTTATCGATAATTTAAGGTTATTTATTTGGAAAAAAATTTGGTTGTCCTGGAGTAATATTCATGTACTTTTAACAATCCAAGTGTAATATCTATAAAAAATATCTCGTAAACAACATTTATTAATTAAAAACCAATTTTTGTTTATGTCTCCGCAAAGCTGCGTTTGTTCAGGAACGGGCGAATCTATTTTGACGGACTTCGACGGGAAGGTTGCTGATGCACGCGGGCATGTTATAGCCTTCTTTTTTTTTGTGTTGACGAAGTCACGGGCGATACAATGGCCAGTTATAAATAAATTTAATTATATTATTTTTCTAAATTGTAATCAAAAAACCGTGTTATTATAAAACTTGAATTATAATATTTAAACGAATTCTATATTATTTCTAGAAAACATGTTTTTAAACAATTGGCAATTATTATTTTTTTGGTTGGACTTTCGATATTTCTGGTGTATGACGCATTCATGACGAAACGAAATAATTAGACAAGAAAATGTTGTTTGCTAATTATTTATAATGCGAATGTTAATATAATGACTGCAGTTTTTTAATGAACTTCTGTCGCAATTAAAAGAACGTTGAAATAATCATATTAATTAATTGATTTAACTTAAAATCCGAGTCACCTGTACTTATTCGTATAAGAGCGTCGGTGGCTCAGCAGTCAAGCACTTGACTTGCAATCTGCAGGTCCTGGGTTTGAATCCCGCCATGTACCAATGTGTTTTTCCATTTCCGATTTACATATCTACATTTATCCGACGTTCTTAAGGTGAAGGAAAACATCGTGATGCAACCTGCACATATTTAAGAAGAAATTCAAAGATATGTGTGAAGTCAACCAACCCGCACTTGGCCAGCGTGGTTGATTATAGCCTAATCACCCGTGACTTAGTGTAGGCTCCGAGCCCCTCGGTGGGGACTTATAGTGAGCTGATGATGATGTGTACTTATTCCCGTAGGGTGGGTGCGCTAGTTTTCGTCCTTCCCAATCGTGACTGTGTCACATTTTAAGCAGACCATCCATCTCTTTCTAGGCATACCCTTAAATTAAATTCATACGCGCAGTTGTTATGTACCTAACCGGTCCTTGCCATACCAGTTCGGTGGAATCCCCGCCATTTACCAGTGTTATTCGATTTTTGAATTTAATTTCTACATCGTAATGAAACTTGTAGTAGAAATTCAAAGATATGTGTGAAGTCAACTTGCAGTGAGCCAGCATTGCCTATGGTCTAGTCACCCTTAACTTTAGGCAGATTACAGCTTCTCATGTATGAGCTGATGATGTTCTTGTACAGTTCGTGTTCACCCTATTACCTTGTTTACATATTACTTTCTCCATTCTGTTTCGTAATATTAGTACGTAAGTAAAAGATGAAAGTTGATAAATCAGACTACATGTAATGGAGTAGTTGTTCTCTATTTCACTGACCACAGAGTCAGTTAACCCTCATTCACACGGGCGTTTTTTTAACCGCCACGTAAATGCATCGGCGTTGGAGATTCAAGCGACGATCGCATCAAAATCAATTTTGTGCGGTACGCTCAGTGCTAGAAAATGCAACTGCTCGCGCTAAAAAAGCATCGCGTTGCGCGCTGTTGTATGATATTTCAACGCGCGATTAAAAAACGCCCGTACGAATAAGTGCTTTGCGTGCGGTTCTACTAAATCTACTTTAATCCTTAAGGAGTAATTAAACTATTCATTATTTTTACTGTAATATTCTGGATTCACTAGACCACCACTGGACTGAACATTACAGTTTAAAGACACTGCTTAGCTTCTAAACTCACGCTTTCCACTGACGAAATACGTGTACATAAACATATGATCATCTCTCTCATTCTCTTTGATAAAACAGAGATATCTATATGTTTCTGTTGTGTGGTGGAAATTTAGAATATAACCCACGGTCGATTGAATACAGAAAAGGAACAACCGGTCAAGCAAACAGCAAAAACGCACGCGCGTTGCGCCGCCAACTTTCTGTTGTAGTCACGTGCGTAACGTAACGGACCTGTGGAACCATCTTTATTTTTAAAATTTTCCCGCCACTTTTTTTTGCAATTTGATTACAAAAATTTTGAAATACAGCAAAATGATTTAATTTATAATACTTAAAAGTAGTTGATTTATTTTGTAAAATTATTAATTTAAATAATTAAATATTATGACATTTTGTTGTGGCAGAATGTTCTAAACATTTGCCTTGTGGCTAAAGGCAATTAAAATGTACAAACAACCATAAACTTTTTAATTATAAAAATTATACGGTTTTAAATGCGACAAATAGTTTTATTTTTGTTGTATAAAATTTTTTAAATGTTAAAAATTTCAATCACCATGCCAATACTTTAAGATTTAATACAACGAATAATAGGTTTACATCTAGGCGTTAAACATGACCTTACTAAAAAGAGGGGGGCGGGGGACATACGCAAGGTAACAACTAAAAATCACACTGAATTTGAATATAGAGTTATAAAGTTTTTTAACAGTAATCTGCGTCATTATTACTGGCAAATAATTCTAGTGACCTTAGACACAATGTCGAGTGTCCATTAAAGACAATGCAAATAATCACGCATCTTACCGCGAGTTTTCACTGACATAAACATCAAAAATTTTAACTCAAACACTAGTGATGACATATAACCGTCTCTTTCATTCAATTTGAGAAAATTGAGATACCGATATTAATATAAGTTTTCATGTACATACGTGTGTCCAGTGTAAATAAGTACATTGTGACCTCAGGCCAAGTGGCAAACATCGCAATCGCGACCAAACAACTCTAACTTGACTATATTAAGTAGAAGGCTGTGTTACACAACCCACTATGTATAAGTGCTTTTTTTTATAAAACTGACCAAATAATCGAGTCTAATGTATAGTCAACGCCATCTATTATCTATGATATGTATACACTTCAACTTGACATAACGAAAGATCTTGAACATTATTAACATATTATGGTTTACATTATTCCAGTGCAGTAAGACAGTATCGCTATACTGGAATGGATGTGGCCATTAGCGCCAGTAAGAGTTTTCATTATGGAAGTATGACAGCACCATAGTTACTATCAGCTCTAAAATGGCCAAAAACAAATACGCACAAAATATAACATCTTTTAGCCAGTCCATTTAAGGTATAAACATTGGTGTCTGCTGTCTATATATCATCAGCTCACTATACGTCCCCACCGAGGGGCTCGGAGCCTACCCTAAGTTAAGGGTGACTAGGCCATAGTGAACCACGCTGGCCAAGTGCGGGTTGGTTGACTTCACACATATCTTTGAATTGATTCGCGGATATGTGCAGGTTGCATCACGATGTTTTCCTTCACCGTAAGAACGTCGGACAAATGTACATACGTTATAATCGAAAAACACGTTGGTACATGGCGGGATTCGAACCCAGGACCTACAGATTGAAAGTCAAGTGCTTAAACCCCTGAGCCACCGACGCTCTTAAACGACGATAAAAATGTTAATGAAAAATACCGCGGATAAGGAAAAATAGTTTGAAGATATATTTAGACTGTTAATATTCTAAAAATCCTTAGTAAATGTAAGTTTATTTAACTTGCATATCACCTTGATGTTTTAATTCGAAAATTAAGGTTGCGCTACGAATTTTATAGATTTATTTTATCTGTGACGTATGTACAGAATAAAATATTATTTTGATTAAAAAAAATGTTTATAAAAACACGTAACAATACGTCGTATTTTAAAAGAAAAACAATGAGATAATTTGTATCTTTTGTAAAAAATAGAACAAATAATTTATTTTTAATGCTAATTAGGAAATCCAATTTTGGTACAAAATTAACGTATGCACATTTGAGCAATGTAAAATCACGTTAATGTTCAAACATCAGTACCAAAAAGAAGATAATTTACTAAATGTTTCATACTTACAAACCTACATTATTAACCCTGTGTGGTCTATATACAAAAAAAAAATTTGCTATTTTTGGAATATATGTACATACTTGTTATCGCCCGCGACTCCCTCCGCGCTGAAAAATAACATCATTAGCGTTCGAACGAAGCGATTCGAAGCATCGTTCCTTGTG